CAGGCGGATTTTCTCAAGGATACTCTAGTTCAAGTGTCATTGAGATGATTTACCAGCTAAATCACCATTGTAAAAGGGATCGCATGTGGACTTACTGAGGGAGAATTGCACATTTATCATGATGGGCACAGCTGGCTGTCTCCCAGCTTCTGAACTCTGCTGAAAGTTCAGCATGTTGGGAGATAACGTGCAGCCGGACAAAAGGCCATCACAACAGCATTGTGGGTCATCCCAGAATTCCACAGTAGATGAGGTCATGAAATAAAACAAGTCATGTTACAGAGCAACAATGGTGTAACAGTGAACATGAACTAAAAATGATATATAACGTTATACTCACAAATCTCAGGTGCTCTTTTTTCATGCAAAATTTTCTACCAGCACATTTTTTACCCAACCCTTTAGACAAAAAATATATTTTGCTCAACCACAGTCCTATGGGAAATAAAGAGCTTCACAGACAAGCATCCTCTTCTTTCAAAGCCCATATCAAAGTAAGATGGCTCTTTGTAAAAATAAGAATAACAAAGAAAAAGCGTGCTGTGTCATATGAATAGAAATTTCAGTCCTTAGGTGCTGCACATGAACATACAGGTACAATTGTAAATGTGCTGTATGTGCCTGATGCACACAGCAGTTCCTGCTAGGTGGCCTCATTTCCTCATACAGAGTTTGGTTGCACTTAGCATCAATTGAGGCAGGACATATTATTACCTTCGCCAAGAAGGTTATGTTTTCAGTAGCGTTTGTCCGTCTGTTTGTCTGTCTGTCTGTGAACAGCATAACTCAAGAAGCTTAGTATGCATTGTCATGAAACTTGGTAGATGGGTAGGTCTTGATAAGACCTAGAAATGATTAGATTTTGGGCCCCCTGGCGGCTTTTGTTGGTACTGCAGCAGAACTTCCGGTTTTGATATCTCGCAATCTGGACATGTCAGGGTCACGAATTTTGGTTGGTAGATAGCTCTTGGGGTAGGGAAGAAGTGACATAAGTTTAGCCTCCCTAGCGCCTTGTTCTGGAACTGCAGGAGCATTTGTTGAAAAATTTTCGAAGGATGATAACTCAAGAACCGGTGGACGGATTGTCATGATTTTTGGTATGTAGGTAGCTGAAGTGATGCTTGACACAATCAAATGATAATTATGCAAATCAGGAGCTAATTTGCATAATTAATGAGGAAATTCTATAAGTCTGCTTCGTTCGATAATAGGACTATGAAACACTTGTGACATGTAATAGAGAACGAAAAAAACATCT